AGATATGCTAATGAGTTCCTGGTGTTGGGTGTGGCCTATTATGCTAATGAGTTCCTGCTGGCCTTTTTCTACAAAAAAAGCCTTGGTTACGGGGTACGAACGCGGGATTCTGGCTGCTAGGCCAACGGTGGCGTTTTCTTTCCTCGAATGTCACAATCCTTTCCCCCCTCTCCTTGCAGCTGTCTTGGTGGTCACCCGGGTCTTGGTCATCCTGTCCGGCTTCCTGACTCTTGCCGCCCTCCCCCCTTTCATTGCCGGGATGAAATGCACCAACCTGATCCGTGACAAAGTCCCTCGGAAATACAAGTTTTCCCTTGCTGCTGGGAGTTTGTTCCTCCTAGGAGGTAAATATGGTCTTGGTCTTTTTTTATGGGGATGGGGCAAATGTATTCTCTCTGGGCTGTGGCACTGGGAAGACCTCCAAAAATTAAAAAATAAATAAACAAAACACATCTCTAAGGAATGCGGCCTTTTTTGACTGGGCCTCTTCCTGTGCCTTTGGTGGCATGCAACACACAAAATTTAAGCGGCAAAGCTTTAGGGTGGGCTGTGGCTTCGTGGAAGAGCACCTGCTTGGCATGCCGAAGGCCCTAGGTTCAAACTCTGCTATCTCCAGTTGACATGATCAGGTGGTAGTTGATGTGAAAGACCTTGCTCCAAGGCCTTGGAGAGCTGCTGCCAGTCTGAGTTGACAATATTGACCTTGATGGATCTATGGCCTGATTCAGTATAAGGCAGCAGTATAAGGCAGCTTCACATGTATATAGGTCCTGGCATTTATTTATTTATATTCTAATTTATATCCCGCTCTACCCTGCCAAAGCAGGCTTCGTTCTCACAGCACCCTAGAGGCCACAGCTGAAGCAAGGTGGCTAGCAACTCACTCCCAATGGAAAAGCCAAGCCACAACCTGAGGCTCTATAAGGCAGGAGGAACCCCATTGGCCTCGCCCATTGTTGAATGCGGCCAGCAGGAGAAAAATGAAGCAGAAAAATTGCCGTCGGCACAATGCCCCCAAAAGTGACCTAATGCCATTGCACTGATGGCACCCCCCTGTGCCCTCACCCCTTAGAGTTGCCAGGCCCCTCTGGCCACCGGCAGGGGATGGGGGTAGGGTTGAGAAACTGAGGTTAGGAAACTCCTGGAGATTTGAAGATGGTACCTGGGGAGGACAGGGACCTCAGTGGGCCACAGTGCCACAAAGTCCATCCTCCAAAGCAACCGTTTTCTACAGGGGAACTGATCTGCATAGTGTGGAGATGAGCCGAAGTTCCAGGGGATCCCCAAGTGCCACCTGGAGACTGGCATCTCTACCAACCCCTCAGAGTCCTGCTAGTTGCCAGCTGGCTACCTGGAACCCCTAAGAGACTTTGGAGGGCAAAGCCTGGGGGGGGGGAAGATGTTGATGCATCAACTTCACTTCTGGCTAAAACTCGGAAGCAGTGTCACCGATGCTCAAGGATTTCAATGAGATCTATGGTAAAAGCAAACTCTTAAGAGAGTCGGTGATGTCACTCCAGGTTTTAATTGGAAGTGACATTGATGTGTCAGCAACATACTTCCCCCCCCCATTCTCCCCATTGCTGGCAGTGGGGGGCTAGGATATGGTTGCAGGAGATCACCCATCCTAGTGGATAAGTTGGCAACCCTAATTAATGTACACATCCTCTGTAGACTAAAAGCATCAGCGGTTTGGTATTAGAAACAGGGGACTGGATTCAGTCCCTCCCCTTCTTCGTGGAACAGCTGGTCGGTGGGATTGTAGCTAGTCTGAAAGTCTTCCAAAAGTTCTGAGCCAAAAGAACAAACATCCTCTCAGCTTTTCAATTAGTACAGGATGGGTCACTGCAGGCAAACATGAATCCTGCGCAGTGAAGCGTGAACAGGGAGAACTCTGGAGTGTATAATCCTGTGGGTCAAACCCCAGTGCCTCTTCTAGCCAAGAAACACTCCCCCTACAAAGTTCTCTCTGCCTTGTGGTCGTCAAAGGTACAGGCAGGGATCATTTCGTAGAAAAAGAGGTGCAGGAGCTCATTAGCATAACATTTGCATATGCCACACCCCCTGACATCACCGGAAGTGTGTCAGAAGGCAACACCCACCGCTCAGGCTCCACTGGACTGTTTTGGATTGCTAGCTATTGGGGGGGACGGGGGGCGTGCAGATCTGTCCTCGCAGAGGAGGGAGAGCTTGTACCTGATTAAAACTTGGCCTTAAAGGTGCCACTGGACTGTTTTGGACTGGGGGTGCGGGGGGGGCTCTGCAACTTACCTGGCTGCTTCTTGCTCTGTGAGGGCTGCTGGGAGCAGGGCTTGTTGCATGTGCCCGCCCCCTGAGCTCTTTACTGCCGGAGCTCCGCTCCTGCAGGAAATGACCCCTGGGTACAGGGACCCCACGAGGGGGTGGGGGAGCAAGTTTGGTGATCATCACATGGCCGCTCCTCTCTCTTTCGCAGGTACAGCTGGTGCAGTGGCTGTCCTTTGGTATGGCATCGACACTGTGCAGAAGTATAAACTAGAGGTAAACTTGACTTCCTGGGGGCACAGATGGGCAGTTTAAAACAAGCGCACTAAGGTAGCTCCAGAATTGTATCAGGAAAGCCAGTGCGGTGGAGTGGTTTGAGTTCTGATAAGAGCTGTTCTTGAAAAAGAGCAGTTTCTTTCAGAGCTCTCTCAGCCCCACCTACCAGGGTGTCTGTTGTGGGGAGGGGAAGGGAAAGGAGTTTGTAAGCCGCTCTGAGACTCCGAGTGAAGGGCGGGGTATAAATCCAGTCTCCTCCTCCTCCTCCTCCTCCTCCTCCTCCTCTTCTTCTTCTTCTGGCAGTAGCCCAATCGTTCGCTCACAACTTTAATGCCAGTAGCTCACAAAGTAGGATTTTTGCTCACAAGACTCCACAGCTTAGAGGGAGCACTGGTCTTGAGCCCTGCTAACTGGCCTGCTTACGGGCTGTCCTCTTCTTGGAAAGCAGAAGATTGACCCTCCATCCCCAATCAGCAAGGGGCTTCCTTCCAGACTTTGGGCCTTGATAGCTATACAACCATGCCAGCCACCATCCTAGATTACCGTGTAAAACAGACTGGGGAAGAGAGTTCCACAAACAGGGTGCCACTGGCACTGCCTATTTTTGAGGGCCAAAAACCTTACCTCAGAGGAGAGGGGCACCAACCAGAACTTTAATAAAGAGCTTTTAAAAAGCAGGGTGACACACTACAGGTGGGTGAAAAGTGTCCATTGCCATCTTTCAAGGTAGCCAGCTTTTCAAACTGACCTCTGTCGCTCTGCTCTTAATACCATTTTTATCATTATTGGGGATTTTCCATTGGAACCCTTCACCTACTGATTTCTTCACAGTGAGCACAAGAACAGAATAAGCTGGTCAGTTGGCAATTCTCTGCCCTGCTTTCTTGCTCTCCCCCATAAAAATGCATACATTCCTCCCTGCAATTTTATTTTTTTCCCTTTTATATACAGTTAACAGAAGAGTTCAGCAGCCCCCACCCCATGGATATTCATTGGCAGAAAATGTCACTGGTGAAATTAAACCACGGCGCAGTATTGCTAGCTGTGCAAGGAAACATATTCTTCTCGCTTTGGTGGGGGGAATGAACAACTTTCCCCCTCATGCTTTAATATTAATGTCCATTCCCTCACAATTGACTGTTTGTATTTTGTCCCCACAGGCCAGAACAATTGCTTGCATTAAAAACTGGGCAATGAGAGGAATTAATGCATATATATATATATATATACACACACACATACACACACATGAATGAAACTATGATCTAAATCCATAGACTAAAGCTCATTGTGATGGAACATTATGACAAAATAGCAGCTTTCTCTAACGAAAGAGGGCCCTGCTGGATCAGACCAGTAGTCCATCTAGTCCAGCACCCTGTCTCACACAGTGGCCAGCCAGTTCCTCTGGAGGTCCAGCAGGGCAGAGAGGCCGAGACCTTCCCCTGATAATAAGAACATAAGAAGAGCCCTGCCAGATCAGACCAGGGGTCCATCTAGTCCAGCATCCTGTCTCACACAGGGGCCAACCAGTTCCTCTGGAAGGCCAACAACAGGGCACAGAGGCTGAGGCCTTCCCCTGATAAAAAATATCAGAAGAGCCCTGCCGGATCAGACCAGTGGTCCATTAGTCCAGCATCCTGTCTCACACAGTGGCCAACCAGTTCCTCTGGACAGTCAACAACAGGGCACAGAGGCTGAGGCCTTCCCCTGATAAAAAAATATCAGAAGAGCCCTGCCAGATCAGACCAGTGGTCCATTAGTCCAGCATCCTGTCTCACACAGTGGCCAACCAGTTCCTCTGGACGGTCAACAACAGGGCACAGAGGTTGAGGCCTTCCCCTGATGTTGCCCCCTAGCTCTGGGATTCACAGGCTTAGTGCCTGCAGATAGAAATTTTGTCTTTGACAAATTCCTATTAGCTGTCAACTTTTTTTATTTTTTGGCCATCAAGTCACAGCAGACTCACAGTGACCCCCTAGGGTTTTCCAAGGCAAGAGATTTCAGAGGTGGTTTTGACCATTGCATCATGACCCTGGTATTCCTTGGAGGTCTCCCATCCAACTACTTGCCAGGGCAGACTCTGCTTAGCTTCTGAGGTCTAATGAGATTGGGCTAGCTTGGGCTATCCGGATCAGGGCGTATTTTTGTTGCCTGACAAAAAATTCACCATTGTTTGGGCTGCTGAGAGATTTTCCAGGATCCCCTCCAGGAGCCAATTTGGTGTAGTGGTTAAGATCGGTGGATTCAAATCTGGGAGAACTGGGTTTGATTCCCCACTCCTCCACATGAAGCTCGCTGGGTGACCTTGGGTCAGTCACAAGTTCTCTCAGAGCTGTTCTCTCAAGAGCAGTCCTCAACAGAGCTCTCTCAGCCCCACCTACCTCACAGGGTGTCTGTTGTGGGGAGTGGAAGGGAAGGAGATTGTAAACTGCTCTGAGACTCTCGATTGAAGGCCCGGATATAAATCCAATTCTTCTTCTTAAAGGTTAATCTTGGTACTAGCAGATAGCTTAAATATTTTTGCCAATGGAAATCCTTAGCAGTTGAAAACATAATTCTCTTTTCCTCCATTTTCTCACAACAGCAGCCCTGTGAGGTAGGCTAGGCTGAGAGGGAGTAACTGGCCCAAGGTCACCCAAGGAAGCTTCTATGGCAGAGTGGGGATTCGAACCTGGGTCTGACACTCTAACCATTACACTGCGTTGGCACTCAATCACAGCCAGAGATTGTGATTAGTGTTAGACTAGGACTAGGGGGACTCTTCAGCCTCCCACCTTGCCATGAAGATCCTTGACTGACTTTAGGTCAGATGCTGTTTCTTAACCCAGCCTACCTTGCAGGTTTGTTGTGAGAATCAGTTAGCAGGAGAGAACAATGAGCTCCTTGAAAGGAAGGGGGGCTAACAATGTGATCTGTAGGCCGCCTGCCCCTGGTTCTTTCATGGCTTCAATTTTCCTCCAGGTCACCTTTAGCATTCCTGGTGTGACGTACGAACTCGGCTATGCCTACTGGATGGCTGCAGGGGGCACTGCTTGCGCCTGTTCTGCCGGGATTCTGCTGATTGTCGCCAGCTGTCTCAATGCCGAGAGTCCAGGAAAGGATCAGAGCCCTCGGCGGCACTGCCCTCCTGATTTCAAAGGCACATACCTGTGAAGGTGAGCCTCTCTGCCAGCAGGGAGTCCAGATACCTATTAAACCAGAAACCAGCCTGATAGTGTCATTTTTGTGTGTGACTGAGCTGGTTCACCTTAATCACACATTGACTGATAACAAGCACTAACACTGCCTGGGGTACAGGCAACCTCAAAATCTAGCCCTCCCTCTTTAGTTAAAAGAAAAGGTCCACACAATCAGTGATCCCAGCATAGATAGTTGACACAACGTCCGGGGCTGACAGCGGTATTGTCTTTGGGGGCTTCTGAGGGGGGGGGGACATATGGTGCAGGCAACCTGAAAATACAGCCCTCGCTCCTTAGCGAAAATAAAAGGTCCACACAATCAGTGATCCCAGCACTGACAGCTGACACGTGGTGCTGGGCAGATAGCACTATAGTCTTATGGGGCTGCTGGCGGGGGAAGGATTCACACGATGCAGGCAGCTTCAAGCTCTAGCCCTCCCTTCTTAGGTAAAATAAAAGGTCCACACAATCAGTGATCCCAGCACTGACAACCGACACGTGGTACATTGTCTTATGGGACTGCTGGAAGGAACACAAGGTGCAAGGAAATCTGGCCCTCCTTCCTTAGCCAAAAGAAAAGGTCCACACAGTCAGTGATCCCAGCACTGACAGCTGACACGTGGCACATTGTCTTATGGGACTGCTGGAGGGAACACAAGGTGCAAGGAAATCTGGCAGTCCTTCCTTAGCTAAAAAGAAAAGGTCCACACAGTCAGTGATCCCAGCACTGACAGCTGACAGAGTGCTGGGCAGATAGCACTATTGTCTTTTGGGGCTGCAGGGCGTGGGCACACATGGTGCTGGCAACCTCAACATCTAGCCCTCCCTCCTCAGCCAAAAGGAAAGGTCCACACAATCAGCGATCCCAGCACTAAGAGCTGCCATTATGGGGGCATTCTTCGGCTGCATCACACTCGGGAAGCGACAGCGTACATCTTGCAGGTGACTGCCCGTGAACGGAACATGAGCCGTTGAGGTCTCTGGGAGAAAGCTGCATCTGCTGGGGATGGAAGAATTAGAGAACTGAGTTTTTGAGGTGCCGCTTCTCACCTTTAAAGCCCTTCTCCGCCTGGGGTTCATGTAGCTGACAGCCAGAGTGGTGTAGTGGTTACAGTGTTGGACTTAGATCTAGCAGACTCAGGTTCGAATCCCCACTCTGCCATGGAAGCTTGCTGGGTGACCTTGGGCCAGTCACACACTCTCGGCTTAACAGGATGAAGATAAAACGGACGTGAGGAGAATTTGCAAGCCACTTTGGTTCCCCAGTGGGGTGGGAATGAATAGTAATTAATTAATTAATTATCATATGGCATGGGTGTGTGTAGAATAGGCAGGAGATCCTAGGATTGCCTGTCAGCCAGACGTTCTAGCTCTTTACTGTTATGCACCACTAGGTGGCGAGCTCGACTTGTTTTTAAGGCAAGAGATGTTTCAGAGGTGGTTTGCCACTGCAACTCGAGTTCCAGACGAAACAAATACTAACCCGTGACGGCGTAAAAGCAGCAAGTCAACACGACGGATGCTAGGAAGCCTCCGGTGGAGCCTGCCATTCCCATCCAGCAAGACCAACCGAAGTCGTAATGGACGCCCACAAACACGTTGTGTAACAGGAGTCTGACCCTCTCCAAGTAGACATCGACGGCGTACCACACTGAGCCTACCAGTCCGAGGATACCTGGCAGGCAAAGAGGTCCAGTCAGCTACACGTCAAAGCAGGGTTGCCAGCTCCAGGTTGGGAAATACCTGGAGACTTAGGGGGTGGGGTGTAAGGAGGGAGGGGTTCGGGGAGGGGAGAATGGGGTCCAATGTCAGAGAGTCCACCTTCCAAAGTGGCCATTTCCCCCAGATGATTTCTGTCACCTGGCAGGGCTATCTTTGGGCAGAAACGCACAGGAACGGAGTTCCGGCTGGCTCTCAAGTTGGCCACGCCCAGCAGGAACTCATTAGCATAATAGGCCACACCCAACAGCAGAAACTCATTCGGATTGGCTACGTTAGGGGTGTGTGATATGCTAATGAGTTTCTATTGTTGGGTGTGGCCTATTATGCTAATGAGTTCCTGCTGGGCTTTTTCTACAAAAAAGGCCCTGTCTCCTGGAGATCAGTTGTAACACTGGGACATCTCCAGCCACCAGCTGGAGGTTGGCAACACTACATCAAACTGTCCTGTGTAATTGCTTAGAGTTGCCAGGTGTCCCCTTTCCTCATCGGGAAACTCCTGGAGATTTGGGGGTGGAGCCTGGGAAGGACAGGGACCTCAGTGGGCTATAATGCCACAGAGTCCACCCTCCAAAGCACCCATTTTCTCCAGGGGGACTGATCTCCGTAGTCTGGAGATGAGCTGCATTTCCAGGGGATCCCCAGGGGCCACCTGGAGGCTGGCACCCCTAGTAATTGCTAAGGTTGCCAGTCTCCAGCTGGTGGCTGGAGATCTCCTGGCATCACAACAGGACTCCAGGTGACACAGATCAGTTACCCTGGATAAAATGGATGCTTTGGAAGGTGGGCTCTATGGCATTGTACCCCACTGAGGTCCCTGTCCTCCCCTCCCCGAACCCCGCCCTCCCCAGGCTCCACCCCCAAAATCTCCAGGTATTTCTCAACCCCGAGCTGGTATCTCTACTATTTGCCCTGAAGAAGTTTGGTTCGATATTAGTGCCACGTGCTTCCCCGAAGACTTACTTCCGACCCCGAGCACCAGTCCAGATGAATAGCGCATCTTCAGCTTGATTTGCGGCTCGTCCTTCAGGAACTTGATGCAGTCGAGGCCCAGCGCCAGCAGGGCCAAAGCGAAGCCCGAGAGGATGTCGGCTGTGATCAGCAAGGCCCGAGTCACCACGATCTTCACTGAGGGGAGAGAGCAAAGCGAGGCTGGACGAATGAGTGCCAGGCCGGATTCAGTCTTGCTTTATCATTTCCTTTACAGAACCTCTCTTTCTCTCCCTCCACTAGAGTTGCCAACCTCCAGGTGGTTAGCAATATACGAGAGATCACAGGAAGAAGAAGAGGAGGAGGAGGAGGAGGAGGAGACTGGATTTATACCCCGCCCTTCACTACCCAAAGGAGTCTCAGAGCGGCTTACAAACTCCTTTCCCTTCCCCTCCCCACAACAGACACCCTGTGAGGTGGGTGGGGCTGAGAGAGCTCTGACAGAAACTCAAGAAAGCTCTTATCAGAACTACGGCTTGCCCAAGGTCATCCAGCAGGTGCAAGTGGAGGAGTGGGGAATCAAACCTGGTTCTCCCAGATTAGAGGCTGCGCACTTAACCACTACACCAAACTGGTGGTTCAGTACAACCAAAATACAGCCTCCTCCTCCTGCGGCAGGGCCCAGCAGGGAAGCCATCATTCAGGGCTTTTGGCAGCAGCCCGGCCCTGCTCCCCTCCCCGACCCCTTCCCATGGCGGCGGCGATTGCCCGGTTAGGGTGGTGGTGGGTTTTTTTGGCAGGGGGGTGGGGCGCACTTTGGCGCCCCTGAGGGCCGGCGCGCCCTAGGCGAGCACCTAGTTTGCCTAGCGGGCAAGCCGGCCCTGGCCATGATATAATTACTCCATGATAAATTGCATAGTCGATTATATTGTTTGCCAGCAAAGAACTTTACACTGAGACAGACTGAAGTTGTGCAACAGAATTCTACAAATGAATTGGACAAGATTGGTTTGACTGCCAGGTTTGCCTTGAGAAAGGACGGAAACGGGGATCTTGAGCCGGCCCGCTGGAAGCCTGGGCAGTTGCCACACTTGGACTAAACATACACGAGAAGAAACCGATATGGAAACAATTAGAACTGAACTTTGGCACGAGTACTTTCTTTAACACTTTTATCTGTTATACGGTTTGCACGGAAATGTTTGTGTGAACGTGCTTGGTAAGCAATATAATTGACTGCACAATGTTACACTGAGTAATTATATCACGGCTGGAGTTTGGTGGTTCTTAGCCTGCAGGCGGTGGCTAGCATTCTCCTGGGATTACGACTGATCTCTAAGCAGCAGAGATCAGTTCACCGGGAGAAAAATGGCCGCTTTGGAAAGTGGACTCTGTGGCATTCTACCCCACCGAGGTCCCTCCTCTCCCCAAACCCTGCCCTCCTTAGGCTC